TTGTGTTCTTGAGAAACCTATACTTAGACCAGGAGGCAATCATAAGAACAGAGTGAGGAAACATTGTATGGTTCAAATTTAGAAAAGGAGCATGTCAGAAATCCATCCTGTCTCAAACCTTTTCCATCTATAAGCAGAACAGATAATTCTGGACTTTAAGAGAAAGAGTATGGAATCAGGATTGGAGGAAGACTTATCAACAACCTGCAATATGCAGATGACACAGCTTTGCTTGCCAAAACAGAAAAGGACCTGAAGCATTTGCTGGAGAAGGTCAAGGACTGTAGTCTTCAAAATGAAGTGAAGCTCAACATCAAGAAGACAAAGATTCTCATCACTGGGCCAATTAGCAGCACCACGCATGGTAGATGGAGAAAAGATTGAGGTTGTTAACAATTTCAGCTTGCTCAGCTCTGCAATAGACATTCTTGGCACTAGCAGTCAGAAAATCAAAAGACAAATGCATTGAGGATGTCTGTTGTCAGGGACTTCTCCAGAGTGCTGAGAAACAATGATGTCAGTCTAAAGACTAAGGTGCTCCTGATCCAGGCCATGGTCTTCACAATTACATGCTATGCATCAGAGAGCTGGACAATGACTAAGGATGACAGAAGACGAATTGATGCCTTTGACTTGTGGTTCTAGAGAAGAGTACTGAATATATCATGGACCACCAGGAGAACGAATAGGTCTGTCTTGTTGTTGTTTATGTGCTATCGAGTCACCTGTGACTCATAGTGACTCTGTGTACAGCACCTCTGAAGCCTGCCCTGTCCTGAGCCAGCCTCACTTACTCCAACACACCTATCTTCATTGCTCCATTTACTGTATCAGTTCATCTTTCTCATCCGGGGTCATCTTCTCCTGTGCATGCCTTCCAAGTATGATGTCCTTCTCCAAGGACTGATCTCTCCTGGCCACATGTCCAAAGTTTGTGAAATGGAGCTTCAAAATCCTAGCCTCCAGAAGAAACTTAGTTTCACCCTCTCTAAGACGTCTTGCCTATTTGTTCTCTTGGCAGTCCATGGTATGTTCAAGACTCTTCTCCAGCACCACAACTTAAAGCCATCCATTCTTCTTCTGTCATCCTTAGTCATTATCCAGCTCTCTGGTGCATAACATATAATTGCGAAGAACATAGCATGGATCAGGTATACCTTAATCTCTAGACTGACACCATTGCTTGTCAGTACTCTGGAGAGGTCCCTCACAGCAGATTTTCCCAGTGCAATTAGTCTTGATTTCCTGACTGCTGGTGCCAAGACTGTTGATTGTGGAGCCAGGCAAGCTGTAACTGTTAACAATCTCTATCTCTTATCCATCCATCATGGTGCTGCCACTTGGCCCAGTGGTGAGAATCCTTGTCTTCTTGATGTTGAGCTTCACTCCATATTGAAGACTATAGTCCCTGACCTTCTGCAGCAAGCACTTCAGGTCCTCCTCAGTTTCAGTTCTGTCTTAGACAAGGTAAAACCAAGTTTCTCCTTGGAGGCTAGGAATTTGAAGCTTTGCCTCATGTATTTTGGGCATGTGGCCAGGAGGAACCAGAACTTGAAGAAGGCCATCATGCTTAGAAGGGTGGAGGGACAGCACAGGAAAGGAAGACGCTGGATGACATAGATTGTTGTAGTAATCTGTCAAGTCAGGGAGACTGGTTCATGATAGTGCAGGCTTTCAGAACTGTTTTATGTAGGGTGGCTATGAGTCACAGGTGACTCAGCAACACATAACAACTACAATAATCACAAATATGGATCTCTCCCAGCTTAGTTTAGATAGCTGTTTAGATTCCAGTTTAAATCACTGTCTTCCAAATTTATTTGCATAAATGAGTGAGCATGTCCAGAGCTGCATCTCTTGTTTAAACACATCTATTGGTATTCCATCAATTCCCAAAGGCTTCTTTCTCACCAATGGTTTTAGTGCATCTTGGACTTCTTCCTTCAGTAACATTGACTTTAGATCATGCACTACTTCCTGGAACGGTTGAGTGTCTACCAATTCTTTTTGGTGAAGTGCCTCTACGTATTACTTATCTTCTGTTGATACTTCCTGCATCATTCTGTATTTTTCCCATAGAATCCTTCATATTACAACTTAAAGCTTGGATTTATTATTCAGGTTTTTTCTGCTTGAAAAATGCTAAATGTGTCCTTCCTTGTTGGTTTACTGACTCCAGGTCTGTGCATATCAGATTATAATATTTTCCTTTGTCTTTTCAAGCTGCCCCTTGAAACTTTAGCCCAAGCTAAAAGTTTAGCTCTGTAGCTTCATCACTTATTTTTTTTAATAATTTTATTGAACATTTACAGAGATTTGGATTTCCATCCATTCATTGCTGCACTTCTCTCCCCGCCCAGCCCTCCCCCTCCCCCAGTTCGCTCCTCTCTTTTAAAACCAAAAGAAACTCTCTCTGGTACACAATCCCCCCCACCCCCCGACCCCTCCCACTGCCCCAAGTACATTCCACTATGCAACCTTAATTGTCATCACTTATTTTTTTTTTCCACGTTGGATTTCTACATTCTAGAGCAAGTTTCATAGTCTCTCCTGGTCTCATCACATCCATCTTGGGCTTTTCTTTCTTTCCTATCTTTTTCATAACTCTTTGCTTTTTTCATGTATGATTTCCTTGATGTCATCCCACAACTTATCTGGTCCTTGGTCATTAGTCTTATACTCAGTGGGTCAAATCTGGTTTTGATATGGCTTCTAAACTCATATGGGATATACTTAAGGCTGTGCATTGGCTCTTGTGGACTTGTTTTCATTTTCTTCAGCTTCAGTTTGAACCTGCATATGTGTAATTGAGGATCTTTTCCACCATCGGCCCTGCCATTGTTCTGATTGGTAAAGTTGAACTTTTCCACTGTCTCCTTCCATGAATGTATTCCGTTTGATGCCTCTGTATTTCATCTGGTATAATCTCATGTATAGTCACCATTTATGTTTTTTTTTTAAAGTTGTTTGCAATGAATAAATTGTTGATAGTATAAAACTTTATCATGAGATCTCTAATTTCTATCAACAAGGCCATATTTTCCAGCACTTTATCCTCCTTGTTTTCAGCTTCTGCATTCTAATTGCAAGTTATTGTTAATGTGTTGAGAAACCCAATTTTTACTACTCCTTCAAACATACAGACATTCAGTTAACTACAATCATATAGTGTAATGCCTTGATGGAAGTTTCTATGATATTTTAGATACAACTGGGTCTTGATATCAAGAGATCAACTATAGCATATGTAATCCAGTTCTAGACATTTATGTACCAGTTTTATGAAGACATCAACTAATTTTATAAAACAAACACAAACAGCTAAAAAACACACATTGACTGGGTTGATTTTTGTTGTTCAGGTTTATTTTTTTAATAACCTAAGCTTCCTTTGGGAGACTCAACCTTAATAGATACTAATTCAATTCTCAGAAAATCCCAAACCTAGATAATTTAAATCTTCTGTCAGCAGTGGCTGCAGTACTTCAGTCATGTAATCTAAAATTTTGTACCAGGCTGTTTTGCCAGAGGGTCCATTTCAGCTTTCTACATAAATCCCCCAGATTTATAGCAGAAGGCTTCTATCTTTTTTTTTTTACAACTATCAAGTACATTCTGTATTTAAACAACTCTACTAGTGAAAGGAATGACTCTTTTGGAATGAATTTTGGAGAGGAACTCTATGCCTAGTTGTGTTCTAAGTCATAAAATGGACTGTAGGGACTGAAAGGGACCACCGGAGATGAAGAAATAGAGGCTTAGAGAGAGAGTAAAGAGAACAGCCTGGGCCACTAAGCTGCTCAGGGACAGAGCTGTGACTGATAAGAAAACAGAACTGTCTTCTACAGATATCCTCACTGCCAACCTCGTCTTTCCCTGGCACTTTCCTCTTTATTAACCTTTTCCTCTATCAGTTTATTCCAGCTCCAACTGTATGCCGAGACTTAGGTTAGTGAATAATCTACATCTGAACTTGCTTTATTGTCTTTAGGCCAAGTTGGTGTTAAAAACTTTTACAGTTTACTTCTCAGCCGCTGGCTCTGAATCTTAACTCTGGAAATAATTTTTCATTCCTCTTTCTTTCCAATGAATCAAAGAGATTTCTCTTACTATTGTCTTCAATTTTCCAAGCACTCCATTTGTTTATTTCATTTGACAAAAAGCACACCAAAGCTACAGGGCTCTGACATGACACTGTTTGGAAAGCAAAAACTCTTTTTCTGGGTTACCGCCTATTGGGCGCATACAGTTTTATACTTCTCCATCAAAGAAGGAGGTCTGGTGGCCTCGTGGTAAGAAGCTGCTCTGCAATCTCAAAGGCATGTGGTTCAAATCCACCAGCTACTAAAACGGGAAAAGGATGGACAATCTCCTCCAATGAAAACACACTGGAGGGTCAGCTGTGAGTTGGTCTGACTCAGTGCACACAACAACTATGAAAGAAAGGTATACTTCCAGTCCCTCCTTATTTTATTTGACACTCAGAGTTTCTCTTTTCAAATTAATTTCTTTTTACATTTTCATGAAAATACACACAGTAGAGAATAACTCATTCATCAGATTTTCCAAGTCCACCTCAGTCATACTGGTTACGTTCTCCACGTTGTGTCTCCACTCTCGCTATCTGAACCCATATTGTCCATCGCTGCTGACTTGAATAACTACCCTTGCTTTGCTTTTCAACTTGTCAATTGTCAATTACTGTTGACATTTGATATCATCTAAATATAATTCACGAAAGCACAATGCTGTCAGTGAGCATTCTTTAGTCATTTAGCTAAACAGTTGTTCATTTCAAAGATGCCTTCAGGGGGAAAGTACTTATCTTACTTTGAGTTTAAAAAATATTGTGGGGACAGCTTTCTATAATTGTGTTTTAAACATTTAGCTACATATTAAGCAAAGAATCGTCACGATTAATGTTTCTGCAAATCGTTTCAGTCTCCAGGCCAGAGCCATCCTTTTCCTTCTGATGGTCTTCTGTGTTTCTCTCACTGAAGGGCCCTGCAGTCTCCTCAGGACCAGATAGTTTTGGCACCAAGCCTGTTGAGGGTTGACATGGAGATGACTCAGCTGACCCAGGAGAACGCAGACTTTGCCACTCGGGACCGCTGCCACCATTCCTTCCTTGTGAGTCGGGAACAACTCATGCCTCAGTACTAGAGGCATTCCTGGGCCTGCCAACCTGCAGCTGGCTGGTGCCCAGATCCCAGTCCCAGGACCCTTGTGGAGCTGGTTCTCCTCACCTGGAAGCCGAAAGACCTGTCCTCCAACAACCCAGCTGCTGGTCTAAGGTGCCATGTCTAACTCAGGGTATCCACAGTGGTGGCTTCTGAAAGAAAGGTCGGCAGTGGAGAAAGCTCCAAGAGGACACTGAGACCATCAAGAGAAGTGACTGCATTGTTCTGAAGGCCACAATAAATGGCTCCTTTTCATTTGGTCTTTTGTATTTTTTTATTAAAACATTTATATGGCTGGGTTCTAAATTCAGAAGTTTTCCTCTGACCCCTGTTTCCCATCTGTTTATTTCCCATCCCTTGACCCTAGATAACCATTCTTTTTTCTATTTTTTTAATATAAAATTTTATTTTATGCTGATTTAGTTTTCTGATATATACACTTCCACCATTTCTCCATGCAGATAATAAGCTTACAGAAGGAGTGTGGGTTCTTAGCACTCCTTTTCCATATGTAAATCCTATACATATCCTATACATGTTCTGTACCTTGCCCTTTTCTCTTTAACAATCTGTGTTAGAGATATTTCCATATCCATATAAATATATGATTTTCCTCTTCACTATTTTTGCTGTAGCAGGGCAAATAATTTCTCTCTCCAGTTCTCCAAAGGTGAACATTGAGATTGTTACTGCCCTCTTGCTATAACAATCACTCCTGAAGTAAATAATTCTGCACATATGCACACTTGTATGTGCAAAAGAAATTCTAAAAAGTGGAATTGCAGCATAAAATTAATAGATTAAGCTAAAATTTTTTAGCTTTCCTGGTTAAGTGAAGCTCTTTTTAATAAAAAAGTTGTGTTGTTGTTTGGTACTGTCAAGTTGAGTATGACCCATAGTGATCAACGTATCTGAACCCTGTCTTAGGTTGTTCCATCCTCACACTTCCTGACACAGTAGAGCCCATTGTGGTAGACACCCTGTCAATCCATCTGGTTGAGGGTCTTCCTCTCCTTCGCTGCTCCTCTGCCATTCTGAGCATCATGCCCCTCTCCAAGGAATAGCCTCTCCTAGCAACATGATCGAAGTATGTGAGGCAAGGCTTTATAATCTTTGCCTCTAAAGAACATTCTGGCTGTGCTTTCTCCAAGATTTATTTATTTGTTCTTTTGGCAGTTCATGTTCAATACTCTTCTCCAACACCACAGCTCAAAGGCATCAATTCTTCTGTCATCTTTATTCATTATCCAGCTCTCAGATGCATAGCAAGTGATAAGGAAGATCATGACCTGAATCAGACACAACTTAGTTCTCAAACTGATATCATTACTCCTCCATAATTTGGAGAAGTCCCTAACTGCAGATTTTCCCAATGCTGTTATGTCTCCTGATTTCCCAACTGCTAATGTCAAAGGTGTTAACTGTGGATCCAATTAAGATGAAGTTGTTGACAGTTTAAATCTTTTCACCATCTATCATGATGTTGCCTATCAGCCCAGTGGTAAGAATCTTTCCCCCCTTTTTGATTAAAAAGTTAAATTGCCAAAGTTTCCCAGTGATAACTGTTGTTACTATTGTGTGCCATGAAGTTGGAACTGACTCACAGCTGATCCTCAAATGGGATTTCAGAGGCAGTAAATAGTACAGAAGGAGGTTGTCCCTTCTCTCATGAGCATCTGGTGGATTTGGGATTGCACTGCAGCTCTCATCACTAGGCTACTAGAGAGTGTTCCTTTTAGTCCCCAACTCCCTAAGTGCTTTTGCAGCTTAAAAGCCCTGAAGGATCAACATTTCTTGGTTCCTCCTGGAGCTCAGTGTGGCGTTTGCCAGAAGCACATCATAGAGTAGCTTCCCCTAGGTGAATGTGGCCCAGCATCAGTGGTTCCATAGGGAAAAGGACTACTGGCTTGTTTCCAAGCTCTACCTTTTACAGTAGAAATTCTCAAAAAGTTAGTGCGCTAAAAACTGACTGGCTATATCTGTTAGAAATGTGGGTTCCTGCATCTCACTCTTAGATTTCTTAATCCTAAATTTAGAATACCGGGAATTCTGCTGGCCTGGTGGTAAGGATTTGCGCTGCCAACACAAAGGTACATAGTTTGAGTCCACCAGCTGCTCTGTGGGAGGAAGGTGGGCAAGTTCTTCCTGTGCTGTTTAAATCCTCTGAAAACCCACTGCAGGGTGGGTGAAGGCGTAGGGTCAGAATGGTCAGCAATGAGTTGATTCCATCTCGACGGTGACACATAACAACAGTAAACTTGGGATGCAGTGCTGGAATTCACATCTCTAAGAAGAGGCTGAATTACACCCTACAAGCTAGTCCTTGGGTCATATTTTAGGAAACATAAATATGTAGGATGTTGTTGTAGTTGTAAGGTGCCATCAAGTTGACTATGATGCATAGCAAACCTCTGAACAACAGATCCGAACGCTGTCCGATCCTATGCCACCCTCATCATCTCGGCTTCCACTTAAGCCCATTGTTACAGTTGTTATGTCAATCTATCTTGTTGGGAGTCTTCCTCTCTTTCACTGACCTTCCATCATTCCAAGCATGAGGACCGTTCCCAAGAACCTCCTAACCACATACTCAAAGAATGTGAGACAACTTTTCACCGTCCTTGCTTCTAAGGAGCACCCTGGTTGCACTTTCTCCAAGATATTTGTTTGTTCTTTTGGTAGTCATGAGATATTCATTGCCTTCCCTAACACCACAATTCAAAGGCATCAATTCTTCTATCATCCTTAGTCATTGTCCAGCTTTCAGGTGCAAAGCAAATACTTGAAGAAGATTATGACTTAAATCAAGTATACCTTAGTTTTTAAACTGATGCCAGTTTAGCACTGTGGAGATATCCTTGACAAGAAGAGTTTCCCAATGCAATGTCTTTTGATTTCTTGACTGTTGGTACCAAAGGTGTTGATTGTGGATCCTAACAAGATGAAGTTGTTGACAACTTCAATCACATCTCCATCTATCATAATGTTGTCTCTTGGTCCTGTGGTAAGAATTCTTTTAAATATTTAGATGTAAACAGTATTGAAGGTCTTTGACCTTCTGCAACAAGCATTCAGGGTCCTCTAACGTTCAACAGCAAGATTGTGCCATCTGCATAATGCAGGTTGTTAATGAGTCTTTCTCCTATCCTGATGCCACATTCTTTTTCATCAAGTCCAAATTCTTGAATCATTTGCTCAGCATACAGATTGAATAGGTATGGAGAAAGGATACAGCTCTGACGCATACCTTTCTTGATCTTAAACCATGCAGTGCTCCCTTGCTCTGTTTGAACAATACCTTCTTGGTCTAGGAATAGGTTTCATATAATTAAGTGTTCTGGAATTCCCATTCTTCTGAATGTTAGCCATACTTTTTTTTATTATCTCCACAGTCAAATGCCCTTGTATAATCTGTAAAACACAAATAGACATTCTTATGGTATTCTCTGCTTTCAGCCAAGATCTATCTAACATCAGCAATGATACCCCTTGTGCCACAACCTCTTCTAAATCCAATCTGAATTTTTGTCAGTTCTCTGTTGATGTACTATCCCAGCCATTTTTAAACAATCATCAACAAGATTTTACGTGTTTGTGATACTAATGATACTGTTCAGCAATTTCTACATTCTATTGGATCACCTCTCTTGGGAATGGGAACAAATATGGATCTCTGCAGTCAGTTGATCAGATAACTGTCCTCCAAATTATAATGGGCTTAAAATGACAGAGTGAATGGGAAGGTCGTGGTGGGGAATCAGTCAGATCTTAAAATTCTGTCCTGGCAAGTGAAATCTACCCTATGCTGATAGATTCCAGATACTGACCTTGAGCCAGGATCCAAGCATTTCAACCACTTTATTACTTGGGCTTCTGAAATTGTGAAGGAGGATTCTGTAATGAGTTAGTGACCATGTAGCACCATCAGCAACCATACCATCAGTACCATAAGATTAAATGCCTCATCTCCAAAGACTATCCTGAGTGATTAAGGGACCCCTGTGTCTGAAGGCCACTCTTCTGGGAGGAGGAAGAGTAAAAGTGGACAGAATTTATTCACAGCTTCCTGTTTCTCACAGTGAAAGGCTACCGATGAGGGACATTAACTACCCGTGTTTGTGATTTGCACAAAAGAGCACCTAGAGAAAGCTGCAGAAAGAGACTGCCAATAAGTGTGGCTGTGAGACGTTGTGAGTTTGTGCTCATGAAACTGGCTGCAGCCCATGCAGAATTGCTCCCTGCATTGGTGGCTGGGACAGAGCAAGCAGCCTAGACCCAAAACCAGATGGGACAGGGAGGATCTGAGGTGACACAGGAGGTGTTGGATACAAGCAGTGCATCAACAAAGACAATAGCGAGTGTGGGCTGTCAGAAAGACCAGACACTGCTGTCACCAGCTCATTCAGGCAGGGATTACCTATCTAAGGGACTCCAAAATCAGCACAGCAGAATGACAGTGAGATCAGCAACATCGTCTAAGATAGATGGAAGCCAGATTGCCAGCCTGAAAATTCTATCATAGAGTGCAGGTGGCAGGTGTAGGTGGTAGTGTCTGAGTGAGTGTGGATCCCATCAGACCTGCTGGGACCTAAAGCCAGACCTACTGGTTCTGAGACATGTAATTGCTGGATTGCCAGGCTGCCTGACCTATAGACTTCAGACAATTATACAAGCCAGTTCCTTAAAATGAGTCTCTTTGTGTATGTTTGTGTGTGTCATTGCTGTGAAGTTAGAACTTACTTATGGCTGAACCCCCTGCAGCTTTCAGAGGCTGTAAATGTCACAGGAAGTGATTGCCCATCTTTCTCCCTCCAGAGCTGCTAGTGGGTTTCAGCTAACATTGTGTTAACAGCTCAACTCCATACAGAATATACCACCAGAGCTACATATCTGTACCTGCCTACATATATATAAACATATACAGAAGGAGAATTGATGCCTTTGAGCTGTGGTGCTGGAGAAGAATATGGACTGCTAGGACAG